GAAAATCGCGATTTTTGCCCGCCAGCTGCGAAAATCGCATGGTTTTTGGTCGGTAGCGGCGAAAATCGAGCGGTTTTTGGCCGGTAGCGACGAAAATCGCGATTTTTGCCCGCCAGCTGCGAAAATCGCATGGTTTTTGGCTGGTAGCGGCGAAAATCGCATGGTTTTTGGCTGGTAGCGGCGAAAATCGCGCGGTTTTTGGCCGGTAGCGGCGAAAATCGCACTATTTTTGGCCGATAGCGGCAAAAATCGCGACTTTTGCCCGCCAGCTGCAAAAATCGCATGGTTTTTGCGCAAAATAGCGCGGTTTTCGGCCGTTAGCGGCAAAAATCGCCCGATTTTTGGCCGCTAGCGGCGAAAATCGCACGGTTTTTGGCCGCTAGCAACGAAAATCGCGCTATTTTTGGCCGGTAGCGGCGAAAATCGCGATTTTTTGCCCGCCAGCTGCGAAAATCGCATGGTTTTTGCGCAAAATAGCGCGGTTTTCGGCCGTTAACGGCAAAAAACGCGCTATTTTTGGCCGCTAGCGGCGAAAATCGCGCGGTTTTTGGCAGGTAGCGGCGAAAATCGAGCGGTTTTTGGCCGGTAGCGGCGAAAATGGGGCTATTTTTGGCCGGTAGCGGCGAAAATCGCGATTTTTCCCCGCCAACTGCGAAAATCGCATGGTTTTTGGTCGGTAGCGGCGAAAATCGCGCGGTTTTTGGCCGGTAGCGGCGAAAATCGCGCTATTTTTTGCCGGTAGCGGCGAAAATCGCGATTTTTCCCCGCCAGCTGCGAAAATCGCTTGGTTTTTGGCCAGTAGCGGCGAAAATCGCGCGGTTTTTGGCCGGTAGCGGCGAAAATCGCGCTATTTTTGGCCGGTAGCGGCGAAAATCTCGATTTTTGTCCGCCAGCTGCGAAAATCGCATGGTTTTTGCGCAAAATAGCGCGGTTTTCGGCCGTTAGCGGCAAAAATAGCCCGATTTTTGGCCGCTAGCGGCAAAAATCGCGATTTTTGCCCATCAGCTGCGAACATCGCATGGTTTTTGGCCGGTAGCGGCGAAAATCGCGCTATTTTTGGCCGGTAGCGGCGAAAATCGCGATTTTTGCCCGACAGCTGCGAAAATCGCATGGTGTTTGGCTGGTAGCGGCGAGAATCGCGCGGTTTTTGGCCGGTAGCGGCAAAAATCGCGCTATTTTTGGCTGGTATCGGCGAAAATCGCGATTTTTGCCCTCCAGTTGCGAAAATCGCATGGTTTTTGGCCGGTAGTGGCGAAAATCAAGCGGTTTTTGGCCAGTAGCGGCGAAAATCGCGCTATTTTTGGCCGGTAGCGGCGAAAATCGCGATTTTTGCCCTCCAGCTGCGAAAATCGCATGGTTTTTTTTGGCCGCTAGCGGCAAAAATAGCGATTTTTACCCGCCAGCTGCGAACATCGCATGGTTTTTGGCCGGTAGCGGCGAAAATCGCGCGGTTTTTGGCCGGTAGCGGCGAAAATCGCGCTATTTTTGGCTGGTAGCGGCGAAAAAAGCTGCGCGCATGGTTTTTTTGGTAGCGGCGAAAATCGCGCCTGCGGCGAAAATCGCGATTTTTGCCTGCCAGCGGCGAAAATCGCATGGTTTTTGGCCGGTAGCGGCGAAAATCGAGCGGTTTTTGGATAGTAGCGGCGAAAATCGCGCTATTTTTGGCCGGTAGCAGCGAAAATAATAAATAATAAATAAATATTGTGACGGTAACGCGTTGGTGTTCGGCTGTTTAAGGCTAGGGGTATGGCCTCGTGACATAGTTATAAAAAAAAATAGAAAAACTGGAACTTCGTCTGTGGTAAGGTAAGGAGAAGACACACAAAACACAAGTAAACTTTAACAATGAAATTTTAATTACGTTAAATAAATCAAAACATGAAAAAATGGACAAACAAATTTGTATAATAAAATCAATCAATCAAAATAATAAGAATAATTAAATGACACAATGAAAAGTTACGTTAAGATAAAATAACAAGAAGTGCAACACAAAATAAAGGGAAGGTGCTGGAATATTGGCTTTAAGCTACCACCTCTCTCAGTACACGCTAACGTCTAGCCGGGAGGAGTGGTAACCACGAAAGCACTGAACATTCTGAGGTCTGAGGTCGTGGCGACCCCAGACATCAAGTAGTATGGGGGGGGCAAGTGCAGGTGCAGCCAGACCGGCGACCAATCAGCGGAGCCGGTAGCGATCAACAGGTAGTTTGGCGGTTTGAGTCTGAACAGGTGTCTCTGGCTGCAACGTTTTGCGCTCTGGCAAACCTTGCTGGTGTTGTTGTCGTTGTTGGACATTTCTTCCATAGTAGTATTATATAATTTCAACGACGTAATTATGGAGGGAAGAGCAGGCTCAATCTCTTGAAGGAGATTATCGTCACAATATATAATAAATTTATATAATAAATTTATATAATAAATTTATATAATTAATAAATAAATTAATAAATAATAAATTAATAAATAATAAGATAATTATTATTATATAATAAATAATAATAACAAATAGTATAATGATAAGCAATTATTTTTAATGACTCAAATAGCTAATTAGGATGAATGATAAATAATTAGTATTGACTAGTGCATAACAATAAAGTACTGTGGTATAATCCTTAATGATAAAGTAGAGATCAATTACAATTAATAACTACATCCATAGGTAGTAAATGAAAGTTGCATTAACTTAATTAGACTAATTACAATTCATGGGAATATTTCTTGGCTATCTGCAGGCTTATCACTTTGGGGGTTCCGGCGGAGCACCCCCAAAGATACAGCAAATGCTTAGCATGCAAGAGCAAGTGCCCCTTGAGCACGTCTGTGGGCCGTCCCTTTCAAAATTAAAACAGATGATGCAGAGGATCCCGGGAGGAGGGTGGGCGTTATGTAAGAGCAGCTGCTGGCTTGGAAGAGGGGCCACGCCGCCTCCGTCCAGGCTTATATAACCTCGGCTCACTGCGCGTGCAGCTTGGGGCGGTTAAAGTCAGCTTCCAGACATACGTTCTCTTCCACTCAGAAAACCCACCGTTTTTGGGAAAAACAGTGTTCTTTAACAGTCTCCGTGGTGTAGTGGTAAGACACTCGCCTGGTGTTTCGCGTGCGCTTTGTCATGGGTTCGTGGACTTTAAAATTACGACTTTTTATACCAAAAATATGCCAATTAGTGAAAACAGGTTAGGTTAGGTTCAGTGAGGTTCGGTGAAGTCAATATCATTATATAATAACGTTAGAACCAAGATTAGGTGTTATTATCACACAATAAATATAGAAAGTTGATTAGATTATGGCGAGTTGTCGGAGTGATTATATTTATTTATCGAGATAGATAGGTTAAATTAGTTAAGTTTTTCTTTTTATTTGTGTGTGGAAACTGGTGGTGGTACATCAGTAGTGTTTTATGGAAAGGTTAATATAGGTTTGTAGGATTGTTGTTTGCGTTTAGTGGAGGATTGGATTTGGAAGTTTTTAGCATTTAATGTGACATGGTCATTGTGGAAATCAACTCTAAATCAATATGCTTACTATGATCGAGAACACAAAAATAATAGTTACCCATTGATTGTATGATTTTCTGTTATGGAATTACTCTCTTTTGGCTGGGAGGGAGGGCAGGTTGTGGCATTAGTGAGAGACGAATATATCACTCGGAATTCGTTAGTGAGCTTTCAAATGCACCAATTGCATGAACACATGAAAATTAAAGGTTTATCTATTGAATCTATCGCTGATTGAATATACCTAGGCATAATAACAATCAAAGTCGATGTTAGATGGTGCAACGCATCCCCCGAATTGACAGTACGGTTTAATACTGTGTAATGAAGTACAATTCGTGACTGCTAGGAATAGTACATAATTACACTATAAGTACATAATTATAGGCGGGATCAAGAATCAATGCTCGATCCTACAGACATAACTAGGTGAGTAGACTTACTTGTGCCATTACACTTACCTCTACATGTATTCTCCTTGTTTTCTGTTAAAACACTCAGAATTTTAGAATTAAATTTTCATCTTTAATTCTATATTTAAAGTTTTAAATATAAAGAAATTTTTTCAGTTTTATTAAACAATACAGATTTTATAGAAAATTTGAAAATATCCTGAGTTACTTTATAATTTATTAAAAGACTTCAGTTTTGTTTTATTAGTTTTATAAAACTGTAATATCAATATAGCTATAGGTTAAGTGCTAATTGTAATTAAGAAGCAATAAAATGCTTGTCCTCATACACTAAGGCCGTTAGGTTAGGTCGTGGTTTTCTATTCAGCTTTTCAGGTAAACTCAAATATTCACAATGTTTTGGTGCGATTCTGGCGATTATTTGACAGTACGGTTTAATACTAAGTGTAATAAGTACAATTCCTGAATGCTAGGAATAGTACATAATTATACTTACTTGTGCCATTGCATTTACCTCCCCATATTCGGAGGATGGCTGGATGGCTATGACAGTAAGAAAGTGTACTTATTACACTTAGTATTAAATCGTACTGTCAATTCGGAGTTGCAGGGTGAGTGAGGTGTTTGTTGAATAGTGGTACTCGGCAACGAAAGACAGTTTGCCCAGCAGCGAGCCAACCTCAATTTGAATTCTAGTGTCTTAATTAGCTTTGCAATACTTCCTTTACCTCAATACACACCAACAATGTATATTTATATACTTGATTTAAGCAATGGATGCACACTAAAACGTATATTAACCAAGGAAATGGATATATAATACACTATAGTTTGCCCAGTGACCAGCCACTGTCAATGTGAAAGCTAGTTTTGTAATAAGGTTTGCAATTGTTCATTTACCTTTCTAAACACCAACAACGTATATTTATATACTTGATTTAAGCGATGGATGCACACATTCACCTATATTGAGCAATAAATTTTACATAAAATGGAGTATTGTTTCATTGACTTACCTCTAAGTCCTCAGTCACATCCAATAACTTATAATGTATATTGTACAATTTTACTCTCTTGATCATTGAAGTTCTACACGTCAATGCCTGAGATAAAAAGGTATCCCACTGAAAAGGATCACAGCAAAGTAGTTGTTGTGAAGGCAAAGGCTCCATATGTTGTGGTGGGACGGTCCGTCTAATTACCACAAGCTACACAAGCTTCACAAAGCTTCCTGGCAATACGTTAATGAATAAATATGATATATTTACTCATTATAATGTTGGTGCTGAATGTACAACACGAAAAAACATAATTTTAATCTGAAAAAATATCTTTTTATAAAGAAATTAGACGAAAATAAAAAGCTGGTGTCGACGATCCAAGCTTCGGTTAGGTTAGGTTTGGTTTGGTTTGGTTAAGTTAGGTTAGGTTAGGATAGGAGTTTTAGGTTAGGTTAGGTCAGCTTAACCTAACATATCATATTTATTCATTACTAACGTATTGCCAGGAAGCTTTGTGAAGCTTGTGGTAATTAGACGGACCCTGGTGGGAAGGGATGGCTCAACTGTATCTGCCATCAAACATTATCTAACACCGTGCACAGTTACAAACCCATTAAGATTTCAACTTAGATTCAACAGAGCAGAAGTTGTTAAACACATATGGCAAAATCTTACTGAAGCGACCATACGAGTAATAAATACTCATACTCCGCCCAAGTAAAACAGAAACAAGCAACACTTAGTGGGACAGCCAGAGGCTTAGGGCCCGCGCAGGAATATCCCTAAAAAAAAAAGAAAAAAGAAAAAAAAAAGTGGATGGAGCAGCCTGGGAGGACCTTCAAAGCTAAATCCTGACCTTTGTCTGAAATCCTCAGACATTTCAAAGCCAGAGATCATGTGCTGGGCAAACCACACCAGAAGGGGGAAATAAAGAAGGTGGGGCTAACTTAGACCAGGTGGTATTCACCAGCTCCTCTAAATCCAGGTCTATAAACACCATAGGGTTATCCAATTGAACACCATGCCATGAACCACAAATAAAGATAAAACATGCCACGAAGTGGTAGCTGCCTGATAAGCCTCCTATTTTGAAACAGTCTCTATTAACATAGATCTAATGAGTGCAAACGTTGCAGGATTTGGGGTTGAAGGTGTCTGACCTAATAGGCAGCATGGTGGAGACATGGAACGATCATTGGCATGTAACAAGGTGAATGAGCACCCTGGTCAGTTTTGACTGCCAGCTGCTGAAGCTTCATTGGTTGAAGATTCATACATAAGCACAGAGCTAACTCCATAACCACAGGCCTTACTGTGGACAGCAAGTCCCATGCATTACCCAATGGCAAAATGACTCAAAGAGACCCCCAACTTGCAGGGAAGGAACCCCAATTTCTCAGATCTGGTGGGGCAGGAAAAAATGCAAGCCAGCCACCAGGGAAGGCCACCCTGGCACACAGTCGAAATGAATTATAATACAAGGAACAATAATAAAACATTAATAGAACAAAAATAATGCAATGACCTCATGGAACTAATTGTTCCAGGGATTGCCAACACCTCTTACCTGAAATAAAAGCAGGTCAGAGGGTCCAAGGCAGAGAGGCACTCTCTCTACTTGCACCAGGCAACTGAGGTTGATGGCTGACTAGGGATCCAAGTGACCTGGGCCATCATCTGGTAATGGCCAGGTGTATCAAGGTAAGTGTTAGTTACCAGTGGCAAACATTATTTGCCTCAGAATAAATATTTCTTCGTGCTTTATTTTGTTTAATTTCACCCATCTTTCTGGTGGATTTTTCTTGGTTTTGGATCAATCTCTGATCCCCAAACTCCCATCGCCTTGTAGAGTGTGTCATATTTTGGTCTTGGCTTCTGATAGGTTAGCATGGACATCTGAGGCTTGGTGTACTTTTCAATATGTACTTGACTTTATCAAAATGCAAACTATGGTGAGCTACTGAGGGAAATTCCCCCAAAATAACACTAATTCAAGTAAATTGTAGCAATTATGCTTCTTCAATGCAAGTACTCTACACTGAGTACCATTTCTAAAAAATAAAAATCTAATATTTTTATTTTTGTGTTTAATTTTGAAGATAACACTCTTCTTTTACTGTATTCTTAAAATTTTAGATGATGTCTAAATTTCATTGTAGTGATTAATCATGTATTATAAATATTTAATATTTTTATACTGATAAAACAACCTGTCCTCTTACAAAGAAGTAGCATTTCGATCGTATGCGTTACATAAGGCTAAAAATTGTCATAAGAAAATTGAAGCGACTCACGAAAGTGACATACTGTCCCGTTTTTCTGTTTTGGGTCCTCTGATAGGTAAGGAGAGGTCACTTTAATGTGACCGTTTTCTTGACGTTGGGAAACCTTAGGAGGACGGGCTGGATATAATACTGCCAATAAGATATTTAAAAGGTATATTGCATATTAAAAATCCAGAGGCTTTTCATAATCAATAAAATTGATTTTAATGTTAAGTACAGAAAATATTAACATAAGATGTTACATATAATTAATACTGCATATTATTTTGGTCTCAATTATTAAAATGGAAATAAGTACTAAGACACTTGAGAAACAAGAAAGTGGCACCTTACTCAAACGGAACAATTGCACTCTCACCTATTCTGGTTAACCAAGGAGTCCAGCCCACCAATCGTTAGTCATTTTTTGCTAATGTAAAAAATAATTCTAACCTCAACTAACAGAGCACAATAATTCGTGAACAATGCAATTTAAATATACCGGAACATAAAATTGAGGAAAATAAAAATTTAAAGGGAAAATGTAACAATATTTTTACTTACTGTTTGGAAAAGCTGATTAATTCTCTCGGTCGAAGAAAATTTTTTACTGGATGAAGTCTTAATTTCAAACAGTCATATGATAGCTATCTACTAGCAAAACAGGATTATACACATATTTTCATCATCCTCCTCCAAGCTGCAGCCTATAACCCTTAAACCGCGTAATACATAGACGATGGGAGTAACTTTACTGAAACCGAGCAATACATATATAGATGATTGAGGCTCTGGCGCACGATTTTAAATGCCCCGGGAAGGATGGGGCAGCTATAGTACAGCCACAACCGATAGTTAACAGACGCCACCCAGAAAAAAAATCATGGGCAACATTCCCGGGTATGAGAGCCTTAGTACTGAGTGAGCCACCAAGGCTGGCACACGCAGCATGAGCTCACAGCACCGCTGTTCAACTTGTGACCATAATATTGCCTAAAAATGTCAAAATATATATGTACATGCTATTATTTAGCAATGATAGTATTACAGAAGACCCCTGACTGTGATAAAAATGACCAGGATTCTGATAATAGCAGGATTGTGGTGATAATTAGCGCTACAGTGGGAGGAGTAATCTTGGTGGGGAGGGAGGTAGCGTTGTCTGCTGACTGTGTGTGACCCCCTTTTACTGTCTAGACTCACTATACCAGCACCAGCTTAGTGGTTCGCTATGGTGAACACAAATGTGGATACTTATATATAACGTGTGTATATAGTGTAATAACAGCAAAAGGAGTATGTTGGGAGCAGCCATTTTGGTGAGGAAGGTGGCATAATCTGCATGACATGCCATGGTGTGTACTGGTGGCCACTATGGTCTTTGGGCACCATAAGACCATACCAGCTTATTTATACAATTATGTTGAATAAAACATGTAGATACGTATCTATAATGTGTGTATATAGTGTAATAACACCACAAACAGTATTGTTGGAGGAGAAATATTAGTGCATCTGGCCTTGAACCAGTGAGGGCGGCAGCCACCAGCTGACTGTGTGTGTAGCTATGTCTCTTATTGCCTGAACTCACCATACAAGCTTAGATGTACAGTTATGGTGAACATGTAGATACAATACTTATATATATAACATCTGTGTATAGTGAATAAAAAAAAACAGTATGGTGGGAGGAGTATGTTGGCGAGTGAGAAGGTGAGGGAGGGGTTGGTGGCGAGTGGCTGGTGAGTGGTGGCCGCTCTTCGTTGCTTTTGACTCACAATACCAACTTAGTGGTTCATTATGGTGAACAAAACATGCAAATACTTATATATAACCTGTGTATATAGTGTAATAACAGCAAAACTATTTGTTTATTGTTTTATGAACATAATTGAATCACTAATATGCACACCATAATTTTGAGTACAGCGATGGTTCACACATTTTATTATATAAATATATCACAATACACACTGTTGAATAATATTACTGCAAAAAAACAAAGAAAAAATCAGACATTGAAATAATTAGGTAACAATATCTTTGTGGCAACTCCCGCCAGACAGCTGGGGCGAAGCAGACCTCATCTGGCGCCTGCTCTGCCAACACCTCTTTTTTGCCAGACTTCCCCTAATTGCGGCCAAATTTTCCAAAATTGGCACCCTTACAGATAGGCTTATGTGCAGTCTGGAAGTAATGCCCCTTATGTGCAAATTTGGAAGTAATGCCCCCTTAATTTTCATATTAACTATGTTCAGTGGTTTCTTCCATAACACCATATCCATTTTTCTAAGATTGTGCTCATTTAGAAAAATCATTAAAAACTCAATCCAAGAAATATTAAAGCGTAAATACAATTATTACCTTCATTATTTTTCCATGCTCTATGAGCAAATTTCATTGAGAAAAATATTAATGTCAACATATCATATGATGAAAATTTATCAGCAGAATCTGATCGTAAAGTAATTGAGATCTTGCTATTATTCTCAATACTTCCTACTCCAGAGCCCCTTAACCTTAACTTTATTTTTCAAAAGTACCACTATGATCCCTAATGGTGTCAACAAACCATGCCTATTGACTTTACCATGCCTAAAAGTCTTTCCATGACTCAAGATTTTCAGAATAATATTTTTGGCACCTTGACCAAGTCAAACTCTATCCTTTACTGAATGAAATGCACCAAAATTAAAACCAGTTACACAATTTTTCTTTTTCTAAAATTGGCCTATTCAATTACTGACTGCCCAAGTTGTTTTTTAATCAAGATTTTCTGATTTTTTTTTAACTCTGTAAATCCTGTATTTAAGAAAATATGGATAAATATTCAGTTCTGATTGAGCAAAATATATCTAGTCTACCAAGACATCTTGGTGAAATGGACACCCTAGTCTTGCCCATCAAAAATCTGCCTGGTCACTAAGGGATCCGGGTGCACCACGATCCATTTGAGCAAGGTCCCACTGTAAGAATACTTCCTTCAGAGTAAAAAGATTTTTTCTTAAATCATAATATATTAGTGCAACTTATTGTCTTCTAAGTTTATAAGTAATAATATATAAAAATCTTAAAGATTAAACTTGAGCTTAAGCTGTGCCAGAGTCCATTCCGTAACATTTAACTCTGCAAGATCTTGTGGCCGTTCAGACAGAGCAAGCTGAAGCTTCTCCAGAAGTCGACCCCATGCCCATCGCTCTTCTCCACACACTAACGTCACACTCAGGGTAAATCTAAAAAATAAATAAATAACCAGCGTTCAGTATATCGAAATGTCATTTTCTGGTAAAACCTCAATGGTTCCCTGAAGCTATCTCGCTGAGATGGCTTCTCATACAAGAGTCACATCAGCCACTGGAGTCCTGTTGGGCTACTGGAGACCAGAACCAGAACCTGAAACTACTTCACACAGGCAAAATATTTGTACGAGGCAGAGGCAAAAAGCTATCTCGCTGAGATGGCTTCTCATACAAGAGTCACATCAGCCACTGGAGTCCTGTTGGGCTACTGGAGACCAGAACCAGAACCTGAAACTACTTCACACAGGCAAAATAATAATACGAGGCAGAGAGAGCTAGAGATTATTATGATCAATCACACTGAGAAAACACCCAAAAAGTAAGCGAGGCAATACAAACAACTGTAAAGTTCATTTACATGAAGCACTAAAACAGCCAATAGATTCTGCAAATGATTCACTCAGAACTGAGCTCAAACTCCCTAGTGCCAAAGCCCCTAACAGACAGCTACCCAGAAGCTTCCAGTTTCTGGCCACCTATAATTCATTCTGGGGTATGATAGACTATAAACTGACATACCTGGTAATTATCTAAGTGTAATTACAGGACGAGAGCTATGTTCGTGGTGTCCTGCTTTACCAGCACTTTGTCATATACCGTAATGCTTTAAACTACAGACAGTTTTGGCCTCCACCACCTTCTCACCTAACTTGTTCCAACAATCTACCACTCTGTTTCCAAAAGTGAATTTTCTTATATTTCTTTGACACCTTTGTTTAGTTAGTTTAAATCTATGACCTCTTGTTTTTGAAGTTAAAGGTCTCAAGAATTCTTCCCTATCAATTTTATCGATTCCCATTATTATTTTGTATGTTGTAGTAATCCTATTGCTTATTTTCCTCTATCTTTTAGTTTAGGCATATTTAATGCCTCTAACCTATCCTCGTAGCTCTTGTCCTTCAGTTCTGGTGGCCATTTAGTTCGATTTTGCCCATATGGGCCTCAACCACTGCATATGCACTGCATATGCCCACTGCATATGTTGGTGCCCATATGGGCACCAACCCAACCCGTTCTTGCACTTGCTTACTGTCAATATTGGCTTATTTAATAGGTGCATATGTGACATACTAATTGATTGTGAATATTTTAGTTTACCTTGAAAAGCTTCATAGAAAACACCGACCTCACATAACCTTCTTAGTATGTTAAGAAAAGCATCTTATTGCTTCTTATTTACAACTATTACTTAACCTATCAACGGTATAGGTTAAGTAATAATTGTAATCTTAACATACTAAGAAGGTTAGGTGAGGTCGGTGTTTTCTATGAAGCTTTTCAAGGTAAACTAAAATATTCACAATCAATTAGTATGTCACATATGCACCTATTAAATAAGCCAATATTGACTTATTGGCAAGTGCGAGAACGGGTTGCCCAACCACATGGGCACAGTGGATAAGGGAGTACCTAAGCAATAGGAAGCAGAGTTACAGTGATGGGTGAGACCTTAGATTGGCATGAAGTCACCAGTGGAGTCCCACAAGGCTCTGTACTTGGACCTATCCTGTTTCTGATATACGTAAATGATCTCCCAGAGGGTATAGACTCATTCCTCTCGATATTTGCTGACGACGCCAAAATTATGAGAAGGATTAAGACAGAGAAGGACAGCTTGAGGCTTCAAGAAGACCTGGACAAGCTGCAAGAATGGTCGAACAAATGGTTGTTAGAGTTTAACCCAAGCAAATATAATGTAATGAAGATAGGGGTAGGAAGCAGGAGACCAGATACAAGGTATCATTTGGGAGATAAAATACTTCAAGAGTCAAAGAGAGAGAAAGACCTGGGGGTTGATATTATGCCAGACCTGTCCCCTGAAGATCATATCAAGAGAATAACATAAGTGGCATATGCCAGGTTGGCTAACATAAGAACGGCCTTTAAAAACTTGTGTAAGGAATCTTTCAGAACATTATATACCACATATGTCAGACCAATCCTGGAGTATGCGGCTCCAGCATGGAGTCCATATCTAGTCAAGCATAAGACTAAACTGGAAAAGGTTCAAAGGTTTGCAACCAGACTAGTACCCGAGCTGAGAGGTATGAGCTACGAGGAGAGACTACGGGAATTAAACCTCACTTTGTTGGAAGACAGAAGAGTTAGGAGGGACATGATCACCACATTCAAGATTCTCAAGGGAATCGACAGGGTAGATAGAGACAGTCTATTTAACACAAGGGGCACATATACTAGGGGACACAGGTGGAAACTGAGTGCCCAAATGAGCCACAGAGATATTAGAAAGAACTCTTTTAGTGTCAGAGTGGTTGATAAATGGAATGCATTAGGAAGTGATTTGGTGGAGGCTGACTCCATACACAGTTTCAAGTGTAGATATGATAGAGCCCAATAGGCTCAGGAACATGTACACCTGTTGATTGACGGTTGAGAGGCGGGACCAAAGAGCCAGAGCTCAACCCCCCCAAGCACAATTAGGTGAGTACACACGTTAGGTGAGAAGGTGGTGGAGGCCAAAACCGTCAGTAATTTCAAAGCGTTATATGACAGAGTGCTAGGTAGATGGGACACCATGAGCATAGCTCTCATCCTGTAACTACACTTAGGTAATTACACACACACACACTGGAGGTAGAGTAACTAGAGCTGGAGGATGCAGGAGTCACACTGCAGCAAGCTCCACAAAAATATCAAATTACCTAAGTATTGGAAGCAGGTTGAGGGCTACAGTGGTGTCCCAGGTTACATAAAGGTTCAGGGAAGTGTAAAAGCAAATAAAATACAACAAACAAATAAAATTGAGAGAAAATAGCCGAGTTGGAGAAGTTTGTTTTTGTTCTAGAATATAAACAAAGATGGCCGCCACCACCGCCACTGGGAATGTAGACACACCAACAGATGATTGTTTCAAAGGATTCTCACCATAAGATATAAGGAAAGGAGGTGTTCTTGGCAGGTTAGAGATAACTGAGGATATGCAAAAGAAGTATGTAGAAAAAGTGCTTAAATTGAAAGAGGACAATGGAGCTCTTAGGGGTGAGCTTTGCACTCTAAAAGGGAGTATTCTTCAGCAAGGTAAGATTATTACTGCATTAATGGACAAGGTAACAAATCTGGAGGAGCAAATCAAGAAACTAGTGAAAGAAAATGAGGTGTGGAAAGTGAAGTGTGGTGACTTTGAAGTAATAAACAAGAAAATAGACTCATATGGTGAACAACTCCAAGGGAGCCTGAGGGCTAACATAGAGTTAGGGAAGGATCTCCAACTGGAAACTTCATTGACAACTCACATAGAGGAGGTTAATAAAGAACTAGAAAAGTATAAAGAAGAAATAAAGGAGACATATGCCCACGTTCTAAAAGAGAAAGAGAATATCAAGGAAGTGTGTTTGGAAGTCAAAACCAGAAATGACAAACAAGATGCAGATCTTAGGCAAGCAATTAGGAAAGAACTGGTAACCAACAGTAAACTGGTACAAAACACTGTAGATAGAAGTAAGTCCATAATTTTTGGATGTGTATAGAAGGAAATTCCATCCAGGGTGGACCTATGAGCAGAAGAGATGAAAATCATAGAAAAAATAGTAGGAATAGAAGAAGACCTAAATTCAAAGGAGCATGTCACTGATTTTAGGAGGATAGGAAAATATGAGAGACAAGAACCGCCCCTTAAGGGTGACGTTTAATGGAGTGAAGTATATGACAGAAGTGCTTCGGAATACCAGAAAATTGCAATGTGACGAGGATGGCAAACTTTGGTCAATAAGACAAGACCTCTCAAAAGAGGACAGAGAAAAGCTGAAAGTGAACCTCATTGAAGCACCTACCTTTCTGGGTACCTTCCTTGGTCAATGGCAAGATGACATACCTTACATGTAAAGTGTTCATGGGACATTGCTCCCTGCATCTCTGAGGGGGCCAGGTTCTGGCTCTAGTTCCCAATAGGCATACAAAGAACTCTGCAACTGATGACTCTCAAGTAGTATGGCACTTGATCAGTAAGATAGCTTCAGGGAGCCAATGGGGCTCCCCCACAGAATTTTTTTTATATTCCCTTGAATAAGAGAAATATTGGGAAATAGATGGGAATAAAAAGTAAAAAGTAAAGAAACACACAGGAAAACTTATAGGCAATTAAAATTGGGATCTGTGAAATCAGGGTTATGTAGCATGGGTAAGGAAGAACAGCCCCTGAGGGGCAAGGACACAACCTCAAACACACAGTCAGTGAAGGTTAAGAGTACTCAAATACATGGGCAGCTCCAGAATAATGATGGTGCCTAACTCCAGAACAGAGGAAGGAAGGGTCAGAGACTGAGGCCTTCTTTCCCTTAGAGAATAAAGAGGATCAGAAAACCAGCTTATACTTCAGGCCAGAAGACAATCAGTGGCTGCAATGCAATTCATGCTGGCAACAGTTTCAACCAGAGATGAATGATGACTGGAATGAACGTGGACACCTAGTATAACCATGAGAGCAATAGGAAGGATTTGGGGTAAAGAAGATAGAAGGGAAAACAGAGATGGAGCCCAAAAAAAAACATTGAATGTAATGAAACACCATTTTCTGGGCGAGACACGGAGGCTTCCTGGCAACCCTCCCTCCCTCCGGTCAGCAGGACATCCAGCCTCAGAACTGATGGGTGGATAGCTGGCGTGAGAAGTCTGGGACTCCCCTTTCCCCCTCCTGGGGAGGGGGAAGGGACAGCTGAAGGCAAAACTGCAGTCGCAGCAATGCCTCCAGAGGGAGAGACAAGGAAGCAGTCCAAGTGTCCCACACAAGGCCCCACCAAGTCCGAACATGAGAGGGAACCAGATGGGACTTCCACCAGGTCACCAAGAACCTGAACCTAGCGAGTTGGGAAAGAACCAAATCCCTGGCAAGCAGACACATGGACCGGCTGGGAGCCCACACCAGCCAGTCGTCGAGGTAGCCCAGAACCCGAACCCCTAAAAGAAGGGGTCACCACAATCCGGTTAAGACACGTGAATATACGAAGTGCCAAATTCAGGCCAAATGGAAGGCAACGAAAGCGGTAAGCATGCCGCCCCACCACAAAACCTAACCAGTCCCTCAACCCCGGATGATCAGACCTCTGGGATGTGCCAATACACATCCTGAAGGTCCAGAGACACCATCCAAGCATCAGGCTCCAAAAAAAGTCGGACCGGGGACAGATTGATCATCCAAAAGGAGGGACACTGGATCCAGGGGTTCAGACAGGACAAGTCCAGATTATCCTCAGATCCGCACACGGGACTGGGAACAGACGGGAAACCCACCTGAGGGACGTTGTCGTTTCGACCACACTCAAGCGCACCTGCACCAAGATGACCTGACAGAGTGCAGGAGAAGAGGCCTGCCCTGCCAGCCCGAACCTCCCGAAGGAGGAGCCACCCAACGCCACCACAGGCCGGAGGATATGACCCGAAATGCCCACAAATCGTGGGACCAGATGTGAGCAAACACTATGAGCTTTCCCCAAATCGCCCCATCAACAGGGCGACCCACGAAAGGCTCAATGCCCCTTACGAGAAACAGATGGATGTGCAGAGCGAGATGAGTGCCAATCAGATGCCGTCGGCTCTGAAGGAAGCGCCAGCTCCGAAACTGGCACCACTGGCCTACTACGACCAAAGGAACCCCGAACCCTGGCAAACCCTTTCCGGGAAGGACCCCCATGGCCACCACGGAGAATCAACAAGCCCAACATAGGGCGACAGCTAGCTGAAGCCACATGCAGAAACTGCACAACCGCAGACTCTGTAAACAGCAGAGGACAAAATGGTGATGAAAACTTAAGAGCCAAGGCCCAAGTGGATTCCAAGGAATGAGCGAGCACAGCCTGCCAGCATACCAAGCGAGTAACAAAGAACAGAGACACCATCTCCTTCAGTATCAGCGCAAACATCTTTAACAACGCAGCCAATGCCCGGAGTGCCAAGGCAAGCTAACCAGATGCAGGCATGGCACCCTGCACCTGCACATCCTCCTCAAACCAGTCTAAAGACAACTCGAGAAGGGCAAAGAAACGCAAGACCGAAGCCAAATGCCCACAGGCGCACAAATCCACCACAACCAAGAATGCCAAAAGGGCAAGAACCTGCTGGTGAAGCTGCACCAGGCTGATACCTTTAAGAAGAACGGGCAAACAAGCATGCATTGAGGTGCTCCAATTCGCCCCCCAGGTTAACCTGAACAACCATAGAAGTCTCCTGTCACTCAAGCGTGCGGGTCCAACAGAACGTATACCAGGCCCCCAATAAAAAGAAAGTACAGTCCGCCAGCCAGGAAGACTCCAGCACCTCGTAACATACCCAATAAGGAAAAGTAAAACAAACTCAAAAGAGGAAGGGTCCATTACCGAGGCGAAATCCAGGTCGCACAGGAGGTACGCCGCATTGGCCTCCCTCACCTCCTTAGGCTGGATGAAGGAAGCCAAAAACCTCCTGAAAGAAAGAACTGAAGAACCCAAGAGAACTCGGAACCGAACCCATATCAAACTCGTACAGGGAGGGGGGGGGGGGGGGGGAAGAAAACCCCTCCTCCCTGCAACAACAAGCCCATGCTGAGGGTACCAACACCCAAGTGGGGTCAAATGGGGCCCAAGCCCCTCAGGCCAACTCCTCCCCAGCCCCGGGATCCTCCATGCAAGGACAGGGGGCATAGCCATCCTCTAAACCCCCTGCCTCTGAAGAAAAGGAAGAGTCCACCAGAAAAGCTGGAAAAAAGGAGAGAGCCCGCTGGTCAGACCTAAAAGCCCTGGCTGGAGGAGCAGGCCCGAATGCTTCCGACACCGAACCGGATGAGACAGCCCCCGAAAGTCCTCGAGTCTCATCACCATCTAAACCCCACCCAGACTCCGAAACCCTCAAACGTCTGGGAGCCGGCAGCTGGGGAGGGAGCAGAATGAACAACACCAGGGAAAGGGCAAGGGAGCGCGGACAAAACCAAAGTCGAAGCGGCTAACGCCCCCAAGTCTGGGTCCCTATAACCTAAGCGGGGCAGCCTCGGGGCATCCGGATTGGCAACCAACTTAGCGCGGTGCAGCAACCTAAACCTCGCATGCAATGCTGCAGCCGCCTGCACTCGAATATCATTATCAGTGAACTGGGTGAATTGGAGCACCTGCAAGAAACACTACTCGAAGGACTCCGGGCCAAAGGTGTCACCGACCCAACAGGCAGCATGGCGGAGGCAAAGATGGTGAATGTCACCTTGAGACAAAGGGACAGAGCAACCCATGAACTCACATAAAGTGAGATGGACCCAGAGGATGCATCTATTGGGCCAATGAACCCAACGGGGTTTTCCAGGGCCCTTAGGCTGACCGATAAGGAAAGCCCAGGCAAGGTACTGCTAACCGGTTGGCCCAAACTACCGAGAAAACAACTAAAGCTGAACTCCTGCGACATGTACAATCATACGGACCTAGCGGGGGGCCACCAGAATAACAAAGGGTGCACAATTACTAAGGGGCAGACCCCCACCAGGCAACAAACAAACAAAAATAGAAAAACCCCGCAAAAGCACAACGTCCCCAGGAGGAACAGAACCAGCCACTGTAAATAATGGGAAACAAGCTACACAGAACCTTGCACCCCTACCAGCGACGATACTACCTCCTACCCAAGGACAAACAGCGGCTATGAAACCCCCAGCTGACCCCAAGGGCGGGTAATCATCAAGCAGCAAAAGATCCCCACGGAGGTAGTCCCTGAATGATTTGTGGAAGATAATCCCAAGCCGCAAGGGAAGTACTCACAGGGTATCTAGGGATGAGGGCCCCCTAGGTGCATGTAGCCCTAGTATTTACTCCTGGCTCACACAAAATAACACAGCAGAACACCACCACCAGGGCACAGCACTGCACAGAGATAGGAATGCAGAGACATGGTACATCAGGGGTTTTCGTGCTTAGCTCACAGCAGGGTGAAAGCTGGGTGACCATTTGAAATTCATTTGCACACAGTAACGACATCACTTTGATGTATTCGATATAAATAGGGAAGACTCAATGTCAGGTGGTGGCACCTTCCTAGCGGGTAACCTGCTGTCTGCGGGGACCATGTGAGGGAGCCTACTGACAACTACTGGCGTCTTGGCGACATTGTGTCTCATTGCTGCCAGAGGGAAGGAGCAAATGTTTTCCATTATTTTGGTACGTTAGCTCCTTTCTCTTCCCTCATTCCATGGTGCTGGTTCTCAGTTCCGGTGCGGTAGCGAATTTTTACCACAGACGTTTACCGGAGTAAATGAGGAACCAGCCTTTTGCTTGTCACGGGGCACATATGCTGAGGTATTTGGAGTGGGTGTATGAGTGGGATTGGGTGGTTATAAATAGGAGCTGCCTCATATGGGCCAATAGGCCTTCTGCAGTTACCTTTATTTTTCTGTTCTTAGTTCTGCTTGATAGTTCAACTTTTGGTAATCAAATTTTAACCCGGTGGGGTGTGTTTTGAGATGCCTGCCTTTCTGGGTGCCTAACCCGGTCGATGGCAGACGTGGAATGTTCCCAACCACATGGGGGATTCTATAGGCCATTGCTCCTCATGCCTCTCCGAGGTGGGGTCAGGTTCTGGTTCATGATCCCTGGTAGGCAAGAACTTCAATCGATGGACTAATGCCACAGTCTAATAAATGCATATTAGCTCAGTAAGCTATGGGGAGCCAGAGGGGCTTTCCACAGAAAAAACAGTATTAGCAATGGGAGAACTACGAGACATGAGAGGAAGAGACAGGTCCATGCATAGAGGATGGCCTTAGGAAGTAGAAATGTGGATGGAAAGGGGTAAGGCTTGCCACAAAAGGGCTGGGGAATCGACAAGTGCAGTTCCTACGTCTGCTCTGAACAACAGATTATACAAATGTGACCTAGTAACTAGGACCAAGGTGCAGGAACAGTTTGCACACTAAAAATTCTCACATCTAGCTCATCCAGGAGCCCAACTCACCTGGAGAATGGTCCTGCTTCAAGAAAATTTCTCAAATCAAGAATATATCACAGCAGAATTTCCTTGTATGATTGTTTGCATGATTTTTGCCAAGAGTTAGAATTTGTATTCAACCACTTGTCTTTGAACATTTTGACTTTCAGACAGTCTTTTTTCTTGGTTCTGTGGTGATATTTGATCACCTGGCTCCCTTTGCCTATTTGAGGGGAGCCAGATTTTGGCCCTGGTCACCAGTAGATGGTTGTGGGTCCAAAAAGGCCTGGTGTAATTTCCAAGGCTCAACCATTGTCAGGTTGTACCATCGGTGGCTATTGAGGGGGAGGTTTCCTCCCAAGAAAGTCTGACAAAACTATTAGGTATATCTACTGGAGATGGCTAAAAATGTATATGTAAACTTTCAAAGTATCTG